TTAAAAAGTTCAATAATACACTACAGAGTCTATTTTATATTTTAGAAAAAATATAAGCAAAAAGAGTCAATTATCTTTAGATTTGCTTTTGGTCGTCCATAAAACGTCACTTTATTTGCATAAAATAAGGTGTTGCGAACGTCACATTATTATACTTTCATGTCATATCTGTGGAGCGAATATACGTGTCAGGCTACGCAAAGTATGCTATAGTAGATGATGCATGATAAAGCGCATAAACGCGAACAAAACGTAAAAGAACCGAGGGAGATGTGAATAGTAGTAAACCAGAGTGATAGACCGGAGTAATACTCTGTAGTGTACCTATCTAATAAAAAGTTACAATCCGTTTACAAAGATATATAATTTACACCTGTGAAATATACAGACGTTTCATATACAAGAAGACTATCAAAGTGCAATTATTCTATATACAACCATTTCCATAACATTTCTTGCGTTTATTCAATCAATATTCATTAGCAAAGAAAAAAATGTGTAAAAGAATAATAATAATTCAGTCTTCTACTATATTGATACAAATATAATCGAATTGTTTCTAAGACTATTTTATTGTTTGTTTAAATATATCTATGATTAAATAGTCTACTAATCATAGATATATTTAAACAAACGAATTATAAAAAAAATACGCCACAATAATTTCATATACCAGGTGTACAAATATGAAATGAAGATTTTTTCTCAAAAAAAACACATTAAATTCGGAAGAATGATAAAAAGAGATTTATTCAAAGTAAGTTCCATTGCTAGTTACACATTTTTCCCATCTTTCGGGCAATTTGTGGATACCACGCCAGTAAAAATCTTCCCCTTTTGTCGCGAATCATTCATCGAGCCATTTTTTCACATCTTCGTACGAACCAAAACGCTGCTCAGCAAGTGCGTGACCCATCGATGCAAACAAGTGGTAATCGGAAGGAGCCAAGTCTGGTGAGTAAGCCGCATGGGGTAGAACTTCCCAACTGAGTGCTTCCAACGTGTCCCGAACTGGTTTTGCCATATGTCATAGAGAAAAATGACTTTGTATTACCTCTTTTAGTATTCTGGTCATTTTTTAAGCAGCGAACGATTCAAATCGATCAATTGTTGTTGATAGCGTTTGGTATTAACCGTTTCGCCAGGCTTCAATAGCTCATAATAGACCACACCCTTCTGGTCCCACCAAACACAGAGCATCGTCTTCCTGTCAAACCGATTCGGTCTTGCGGTCGATGTGGATGGTGCGTCTTGATCTATCCATGATTTTTTGCGCTTGGGATTCTCAAAAAAAATCCACTTTTCATTCCCAGTAACGATACAATGCAAGAATGACTTTCTTCTGTATCGTTCGAGCAAAATTTCACATGTATTTTTGCGCCTCTCCATCTGTCGTTCAATTCATGTGGCACCCATCTGCCGACTTTTTGAATCTTTCCCATCTCTCGTAGATGATTGGAAACAGCTTGATGACTAACGCTCAATTGCTCTGCGAGTTGTTTTTGTGTTTGTAAATCATCTTCATCCAACAATGCTTGCAATTCCATGTCTTCGTACTTTTTGGGCGGTTTTCCGTGTTCCTTGTCTACAACATCGAAATCTCCAATTTTGAAACGCTGAAACCATCGTTCACACGTTTTTTGCGATGGAGCATGTTCACCATAAGCTTCTCCAAATAATCGGTATGATTCCGCAGCAGTTTTCTTCAAATGAAAACAAAAAATTAATGCTGTCCGCGAATGCTCCTGATTTGGTACAAATTTCGTCATATTAAACACAGCAACACAATACTATGCAAACACTTTTCAATCAAATTACTTTGCGCGTTTGACACTTGTTGATGGTACAATAAAATGGCGTATAATGTTAAATCTTTGTACTTCACACTGCATTGGTGCGCCATCTGTTTCTCAAATCGTCATTTCATGTACACCTGGTATATGTACTATAGGCGATAATGGAATCGATTGCAATCGAAACGAGTTAATTTAATTATGCTGAACTACAATTTAAATTCCCTGAATTCATTTTAATAAGAGTATCTTGGCCACAAATGATGCGCCTTGTTGTAAATAAAATCAATTGCGCGAGACTTTATGAGACTTGGAAAGGAACCATGCTGTGCGAGTATAGTTGCGGTTTGATGACAGTTGGACCAGAGAGCGCGGTTGTAAAGACATCATTTCGAACAGATTGTCTTTGGCACGATATTATGTCGACGACACTACTGCATCCGTGTTTATGACGACTAAATAACATAGCTTGCACCTTCAAGCCGAGTTTAAAGGTGTGCTAGCGGCAAGATCTTTACTCTTTTTCGTGGAAATATGACATGCGATGCTTTTCTCTATTCGCTATAAAGTCGCGCTCATGAAATTTGCTGGTTTCGTACACACTATGTCGCATCGTAATCTTTTGAGACATTTATGAAATATTTCATACAATTATTATAGTAAATATAATAGCATTGAATTATCAAGAATAACGGGATACATTAATAATTTGGAAATTTGAATAAAAAAAGGTTCGTGTATATTGGTAATTGTATACAATTAATAATTAACCATTATTATCCTATCTAATTGGATTAGTTTGAATTTATATAACTTAAAATATAAGATGCCTTGTAAACTTGCTGTCGGTACAAGCATACATTTTATTACAAATCATCATGTTAAATAAATATCAAACTGTCGAAACGGAGAATTTATGATACTGCATGAAACATGTAGATGTATCGATCCGATCTCGTGCATCGCCTTAACGTACAAAAATTTCTCCCAATGTTATCGCAGCACCGCAACAACGTTCGCTGTGTTTGCCCAACGGTGTTTATCGAATGGAAAAATATGCTCATGGCAATTCCGGTAATGGTGGATTCGCGCGCGATGCTGTACCGTAAAAGCTACTCCATGCGAACGAGCATGCTTGTCAAATATACGCTTTTTAAAACACTGTACACATCACCCAACGTTGTTGTATTCCACCGCAACAACATTCGCAGGTCATTCTTCGTGTATATTCTCCCCAGATTCGTACGACCGTCGTTTGTGGATCTACAGATGAATACATATGCATGTCGTTACCTATTCAGCATTCCTATTCTCCAACAACGTGTTTTTTTTTTTTGTCGCGTATAATATGATACGCGTATTCGCTCTTTGACGGACAGAATTTTTATTGACATTATAGTGTGTTCGCGTGATATATCGTATATGTTACGTTGACAAGATCATTTACCCAGAATATAACAATATAGTTAATTAAAACGTACTTTTGCGATCACATCTTCTTATTTTTATTTTTATTTTGTTTTATTAATATTTTTAATGATGTATATTTATATATTCAAAATGTTTATAGATTTTTCTATAGCGATTAGAAATGTAAAATTACCAGTCAATTTCGATCTAACAATTACTTACAATAAATTAATAAATTATTGATAATTTGGATAAAATTTGTTGTTTTTTATAGTTTTGTGCACAAATGTTTTTCTCATATAAGATACAATAAAATTCTTATATTAGATTTGTTCATTATTTGTAATTTTTACACTCAGAAGTTTTACTTTTTCTCTTTCCAACGTTCGAATATACATATTTTGTTTTAAATCTAAACATTTTTGGAGATTTTAAAAGAGAATAACTAAATAAATCTATTTTCATGATGCTCTTGTAAAATGTTTTCATTTCTATTTATATTAAAAATTTTCAGTTGTATGACATGATACCACAGTCTCTATATAATCGCTATGTAAGCTTGTAAGATATGAAATATCTTAAAATAATTTAAAATTTCACATTTTTATATTAAAAAGTCTAACAAACAAATTTTTTTTTTGAAATTTTTCCAATTACTATGTAACTAATTAATGTAAGTGTATATATATATAATTACTGTATTAAAATTATTAGAAAATATTAGTTAGATGAAGTATTTTATTCAATTTAAAGATCATAAAGCTCTTTTTGAACTTTCAATCAAAATTTTCTTATTTCTATAATTTTTTTAAATTACCAGTTTTTTAAAATTATTAGATAATTTACCGCGGTTTTTACTTAGTTATATTATTTTTTTCATCTCTAGCAGTGATAAGATATTAGATGTAATAAAATATTATTAAGATTTTAATATAGATTTTTTAAATATATATTTTGTATAGATTTTTAATTTTATCGTAATTTAGCTAACTTCTTAAAAAAATAATTAATATTGATTATTAATATTTAATTATTAAGATATGCTAAATAATATGAATAACAATAATCAAAATTAATTGAATTAGACTCCTTATGCTAAATATAAATTACAATAATTAATTAAGTATAAATTAATGGCTATATATGTAGAGTCAAATGCTGTTTTCGGTGCGTTAATTATGAACAAATATATCTTTGATATAAAAAATTCGAACTTTTCGGACCATCAGCGATAATATAATATACAAATGTTAATTAAAGTTAGAGAAAATGATGTGAAACGCTATAATATTAATATATATTGTCCTCTTATTTGTCATCAACAGAGATAAGTCCATTACTTGGTGGATTGAAAGTGTGACACGATTATTTTAAATCTTGGAAGTGTGTCTGTGCTGATCGACAAAAATACAATTCCATAATTACACTTATAAATGTCATAGCGTGTTTAACTGACAATTTCGTCGTTATAATATCAGTAATTGACAACTACTAACAATATAACGACTTACTCTTAACCTCTTAACAAATAAGAGGACAATATACCATATATTAATATTATAACATTTCAACACCATTCTCTCTAACATTAATTAACATTTATATATTATATTATCTGATAATAGTCCAAATAATAGGACCGAAACATTCGAATTTTTTGTATTAAAAATATATTTATTCATAATTGACGCACCGAAAACAGCGTTTGACTTTATATAGCCGTTAATTTGTACTTGACTAAATAATATTTTATATTTCATTTAACACACACACAATAAGAATTCGATGTATCCTTACCGTGTAACAGCATGAAGAGGATGAAAACGCAGATCATTTTGAAAGGTTTGCACCAACCAGTCCCATTGCCGCTATATTGTAAATCCATTCCCAATGCTTTCACAGTCCATCGTTTCCGATACATTTCACGTCAACTGCTTCTTCAAAGCTGCAACAGTCGGCTGAGGGCGACGTGCTTTCCTGGTTGGCAGTAAAAAGGAATTCACTTCGCTCACTGACAGTTGCAACACTTGCCACTTGGCTATTATTTCCATCAGTTATTGATAATATTTTGTACTTTTATATATTTTCCAAACCAAGAAGTGCTTATAAATTGAATAAAGTTTACTCTTTTTTCAAGTTTTCGCTAAAATATAATTTTATTAATAATGATAAAATAATTGCATCGTGAAATTAAGGATATAAATAAAAATCTTATATTTTATATTTTCTCTTACTTGAGTAATTAAATCTATATATACATAGATCTTTTTAAATAATTAAATGATTAGACTGCAAATATAGAAATTAACCATTGTCGCTGTGATCAGGTTAACCATCTCATATACAACGATATACTTGATATTTTCTCAAATTATAAAACGAACCATCATACGCGAATGTACGCAATTACTCGGTAAAAGTAATTACTTCTGCCGCGATTACGATTCCAAACACCAATGGGAAAAAGAGAGACAAGCGTGTTTAATCGTGTTGCGCGTGATGTCATTTCTATTTGTTGTTGAAAAGTATACATGCTATTTATGTAATATGCTATGCGAGCGAAACCAACAATATGTGACCAAATGCGTGATATATAGTATGTTATTGGTCCTTCGATAAGTTTACGTTAAGTGACGCGCTGCGGAATGCGCGATTGAAAACGAACGTGATGTGATTCAATTGAATTCGCGCATCCATTACCCCCAATCGGGTGTTACTGGCCAGCAAATCATAATCGACAGAACTAATTTGGTATGCACATAACACAGCTAGGGATATTAATTTCACTTGTCATTGGATTTCAATGAATGTATCCGCATGCGAGGATACTGCTATAAACCAATCTTACTGCAAAGAGCATCAATAGATAGTTTAACCGAAGAGCCATTATTGAACTATTGTCAAGCTGTTGAAGAATTCATGATCATTTTGCTCTAATACTAATAATAATATTAAATAAACTTGTTTAAAAGGTACATCACGGATAATTAGAAGCTGAAAATTGACTCCTAATATTAATGTACTCATTGTCAGTGCTAAAGAATATTTAAAGATATTTAGACTAACATTTTGCTTTCGAACAAATGAGCTTGTAATTATTTATATATATTACGTAAAAGTAACGATATTAATATCTAGATTTATAAAGAACTTACATGAAAAGAATTCTTTTTTTGAAAAATGATCAAATTGTGAGATCAAACTGAGAGCACAAAATATGCATCGCGATTATGGTAGAATGGAATTTTAAGAATGGCGATTTATACGTACGAGTAGCATTTCCCACGAAATATTCACGAGATATCGATCATGCTGAAGTGGTCACGTGTTCGCTTTTTTGACGATTCATTGTTTTTGTTTTTTCTGCGCTTGGAGAATTCGCGCGTTATCCACACACATACAACGAAACACAGAAAACACTCATGATGAATAAATCACGATTTAACGATTAATTCTACATTCTTCAATTTAATTAATACAGTTCTCACATCTAATTTTCAAAATCATTCGACACGCTTTATCATCATCACATCATCGAATACATCGGTTCGTTACCGTGCGTTAGAGGGAACATTTCACAAATCTGTCTTCACGTGGAGCAGTCATACCTTTTCGCTCTTATCACAGTTATGAATGAAGGACCGAGCGACAAGATTCGCGCAATCACAGAGAGAGAGAAGCGGTGCGTCACTAAATCCTTCGAGCACAGCTGGTCCGTATTTCCACGTGGGCAACTGCAGCTCTCGCGCGAGGCGCATCTTCGCTAGCAGAGATGGGATGGGATCCTCTGATTCCTGTGTCGCCGGTGCGGTGGGTGACGTACGATCGTTGCGAAAGGGCTTTAGGTAGGACCGTGCACCACTTCCGTCCCTCTAAAATACCGTTCATTCATCATGCCGCACTTACACTAACGCATCATCACGCCGCGACACCTTCATCCATAGGCAGCGAGAACGAGCGGAGGGACGCAGAGGGTGTTATACACCCGGTGTCGGTATATGCACCATTCGCGAAAGGGCGAACAGGTGGGGGGAGAAGGGGTACATACAACGAGAGGTCGTGCGAAGAGGTCGTGGGGTAGGTAGGGGACGATAAAAGGGGGTAGGGAGCGAGAGGGAGATAGGTGCGTAAAGAGACCGGTGGGCGAAATGCTGCCGTGGTGGAGACCGCGACCCAACTGCGCCAGCGCTTAGCTAGATATCAGCCCCCGACCACCGACGTCAACTCTTACCACCACCCCCCGCTGCGATGCCCAACCATGCCGGCTTTCACCCACCCGCGTGCCACCCCTTGTGTGCGCCGCGCCATCATAGTCCCACCGTCGCGTCGTCGGCTGGGTTGATTGTGAGGATGGCTGGCGTTCGCGCGATGGCATTTCCATTACTACCGCGGGTATTGTCATCGATGACTTTTGTGTCATGCTGGCCGTTCGTCGCCACGCGCCGCTATTCTTGTGCTACAGAGCTATTAAGGTTGTTAGGTGGGTAAAAGCGCATATGTAGGGCTACAAACTACCGTTATTGCCTGTCTCGAGCTTGCCAATGCTGTCCACGATATTTAACACCGGTGCTAGAAACGATATTGACGTTGAAATAAAATTTATTGGCTTGGCTCGAAAATACCTCGGACGTTGCAATCTTTGGTGAATGTTACGCC